TTGAAAAGTTAAATTTCCCGGGAGACCACGTCTCCGATCACGTAAATCACATCTTTGATTGCCGTGTTGCCAGCATGGTTGTCCTGATAGTGTAGTGGTCATCACACCTGACTAGTAACAGGGGGACGTGGGTTCAAATCCCGCTCAGGGCAAATTTTCTTTTCAAACATTTATTCTATTTAAGTATAATTACTTGGGGTGTACAGGGTCAGGGTTTCTCTCGTATACAGAATTTATATATATATATATAACCGAACAGCTCAAGTACATGTTGGTATGACGTCAGTACCAATGCAGTGAATATTAGCAAGAGTAGATTCAAGCTAAGGAAATGATCCCTCAATACAAATAGCCCTTATGTTAGTTAAATCCTCTCAGTGTAGTTGGACTCGTAAGAGTCATGTGGTTGGCCGAAAATAATGTTACAATCACTGTCAAGTACTTTGAGTGTTGCTGGATATTCAGACGATGAACGATTTACACCGTAACTTGGTCGTCCACAAAATTTTTAGATCCAGTTGAGATCTCCGAAAACAGTTAAGTTGATTCTTTATGCATGCATGCATGCATGCATGCATGTATGTAGGTAGGTAGGTAGGTAGGTAGGTAGGTAGGTATGTATGTATGTATGTATGGACTGCTTTTTGCCACATGAATGAATGAATGAACTTTATTTATCGTCGATAACGTGGGGAGTGGTCACCCAATCTCCCGAGCCAAGGGCTAATGTGTAAAACGCTCGACTAAAGGAAATACAAATTAAATAATAGATAAATATCATGCGATGGTTGGTGTGGGCTGACCAGTAGCTTGGCAGATCACACCTACTTTGTGTCCTTCTTCAACAATAACAGATGAAGGTTTCTGAATGAACAATGCTCAAACTGAATATAAAACCAAGAGGTAGAAAAGGTGAGTAACTTTCTAAGTGTCATCTCGAGGTATTTACTTAAGCCATCATTTTTAAGGCCAATTTGAAATGACAGAGAAAAAACCTGTGAATTAAACATTCTGTTTACTTCCTGTTTCAGTCGCCCTGATCCATCAAAGCACAAAAATATGATTGATACTCAACATCAATTTATATCAGAACAGTCCCAAAATAAAATAGTTTATGATGAATTTTGAGTCGAGTGTATAATGACGGAACGAAATCATTCTTACCTTGAACAGTCAACCTAGCCAATGACGTCACAACTCCAAGAATATTCCTTGCTACACAAGTGTAGTTTTCGTCATCCTTTGAAGCAACATCATTGATCAGCAGGCCTCCACCAGTTGACACAATGCGATTATCTGCGATAAGGCTGGAGTTATCTTTTAGCCAAAACATGTGACTTTTGGTTGCGGATTCCCTACAACCTCACACTGAAACGAAGCTGTACCAGTTTCTTTCACAACTATAGACGTGGGAGCTGTCACAATAGAGGGAGCTAAAATACATTTAACAGGCTCTCCCCTAGCTCCAGGAAGACCAATGGGTCCGGGAGGTCCTTGAATGCCCTGCGGACCATGGTTTCCTTTAGGGCCCATTATTCCTTGTTGCCCGGATGGTCCGTGTTTACCTGGAGGGCCTATTGGTCCAGGTGATCCTTTTTTCCCTGGGGGGCCTCTCTGACCGGACCTCCCTCGTCTTTCCCTGATGCTTTTTGGGCACTGAACAAGACAAGCCTGGCTGCTCATAGCAAGTGACACTTCTTTTCTGATACTGACGTTCCATGTCTAGCTCGCGCCTGTATTTTTCACTTGCCGTTTTTGACGAGTTTGAAGGTCTGCAAGAAACATCACAGAATGACTACCGCTACGTTCCGACTTTGCTTATGCCACTTTAAAACACGAAGGCGCACTAGAAAAGGAGACTTAGGTCCCACTGGACCATTTGTCAATCAACCGTGGTGTGATGTAGAACTCTTAGAGTCAAGTCAGCTTGAGCTACAGCTACTTCAAAGCAGTGAACAGCGGGCGCATTCCTCAAAATTGTTTTATGTCTTCATCATAATACAGGAATTTTTGAGATTTGTATTTCCTTTCTCCAATGGAAACTGTCTTTATATCTGGCGGTAAATTTGAGATCGAAGTAGGTGGTTCGCACGTTACCTCCTGCCATCATGCTGGTCGAAGTAAACAATAGATATCTCATTAGCTCCTTTTGTTCGTCTACCAGCATTTAAATTTGACCCGCACACGTCAACGGTGAGTGACAAACGAGCCTAGGTCTTCCCAGGGAAGACTTCCTCACATAGCGCGCCTTCGTGTTCCTAAAGCCTCTGTTTTAACAGTTTGGAATCTTCAGTATTGGGGTGATCGGGGAGTGCGGAGTGATTTGGTTGATTTATCTTGGAAAGGATCATGTAGAGGGCAAAGAAGATGAACTGAAACCAAAAGAAGTGGCCCTAAATCAGCCCAAGAACTTCACACGATACAAAAGTTTGACACTCTTTAATGTGTAATGGTTCCGGCAGTTCCGCGGTCTGCTGATAACTTAGTAACACTCATTTTTTGTTGTGTCCAAATTATATTTACCTCGTAAGTCTGTTACAAATCCATAACCTCCAGCGAATGAGTTATCCCTTGAAGCTTTCCTTTCTGTTATTATCGGTGCGAACTGTATTAAGAGTGCCCGTCGGTAATGATCAGACAAATTCTTAATTTCGCGGCAAGGGTGAAAAATTCGATTTCGCTCATATTCTTATGGTAGATAGGCTAGGGCATGACAAAAACTACGGGATAGTCTTTTAAGGCAAAATATCCTATTATTTCAAAGAAATACGCAAATTATCAAATTCCGTTAAAATCGTCATTAGACGCGCCATTTTATTAAACAAGTTTGAGAGCCTCGCATGCAAAACCACATTATTCTTCCGTCTTTAAAACACTCAAATA